TCGAACCCGTCATTCATGCCCTGCTCCTGGGAAAATGACACCAACTCTTCACCCTTCCCTATATTCACTTGTGGAGCCGACACAATATCTACTCTCTGGTATTCTCTGAAAGTGTTGGCAGGGTTCTTAGAATAGGCTCAATATAAGGCAGCTCAAATAGTCTGTTTCCTAATGAAGTAATGGGATACTTAAGGCTGGGTGCATTGACCTCATGGGCACAGTAGGGGCACTGACCGCTCTGCTGAAAGCACACATCATTGCATAGGTGGCCAACATACGTGTGAGAGAAACATCACCCATCAAAGGCAGAGAGAAAGACCAAGACGTCTCTTTGCTTCCTTTCTGGGGGAAAGCACCCCGAACCCTGGCCCCAATGACCCAGCCACCTCCCATGCAGCCCAGCCTCTTAAAGGGGCCCATCATGCAAGGAACCAAGCTTCCACCACAGGCAACTTTGGAGGCTACACTAATTCTAGAGCCCCAGCACCTGTCTGTGATAGAGAAACGGCCCAAGGGTGCAGTGGGGGGAAACTAAGTCAGTTCATATCATCAGAAGAGAGTGAGGAAGGGAATTCTGGAGTGGGGACTTAAAAGAGAATGGCACAAAGACAGGATGGTGGCTTTGCCATTCGGAGAAGAAACGGCTGGCAGGGTTCCTAGTTCACGTCTGTCACCCCAGCACTGGGGAAGCCAAGCGGGATACTGGACCCAGGGCAGCATGCTCTACGAAATGGAATGGCCCCGCCCCCTCCGACTCCTCCACACACAAGTGAGACAATTAGAAGTTTGTCTTGGCCTTTTTTCTGTCTATTCTTTCTTTGTCTTTCATCTAAATTTTTTTAAAACAATTCTTTCTTATTTTACATATCAATCCCAGTTCCCTCTCCTCCCATCCTCCCATGCTCTCCACCAACACCCCCATCCCATACCCCAACCACTCCCCAGGGAGGGTGAGGCCTTCCATGAGGGATCATCAAAATCTGTCAAGTCATTTCAGGTAGGGCTTAGGCCCACCCCTGTGTCTTTAGGTTAAGGGAGTATCCCTTCATGGGGAATGGGCTCCCAAAGTCCATTCATGCACTAGGGATCCAACCTGGTTCCACTGTCAGAGGTTCCTTAGACTGCCCAATCCTCCTAACTAACACCCATGTTCAGGAAGTCTGGGTCAGTCCTATGCTGGTTTCCCAGCTATCAGTCTGGGGTCCATGAGCTCCCCTTGTTCAGGTCAGCTGATTCTGTGGGTTTCTGTAGCCTGGTCTTGACCCCTTTGCTCATCACTCCTCCCTCTCTGAAACTGGATTGCAGGAGTTCTGCTCAGTGTTGAGCTGTGGGTGTCTGCCTCTGCTTCCATCAGCTACTAGATGAAGGCTCTAGAATGGCATAAAAGGTAGTCAGTCATCAATCTCATTATCAGGGAAGATAGCCTCTCCACTATTGCTCAGATTGTTATTTGGGGTCATTCTTGAAGGTTTCTGTACACTTCCGTAGTGCCAGATTTCTCTTTAAACCTACCATGGTTCCCTCTATTATGGTATTTCTTTTCTTGCTCTCCTCTACCCTTCCCCTGACTCAATCTTGCTGGCTCCTCACGTTCTCCTCTCTCCTCCTCTTCTCCCCTTCTCTTCCTCCTAACTCCCTCTCCCCACCCCCAATATGCTCAGGAGATCTTGTCCCTTTCCCCTTCTGTGGGGGACCATGTATGTCTCTATTAGGATTGTTCTTGTTTCCTAACTTCTCTGGCAGTGTTGATTGTAGGCTGATGATTCTTTGCTCTGTCTAAAATCGATATATGAGTGAGTACATACCATGTTTGTCTATTTGTGACTGGGTTACCTCACCCAGGATGGTTTCTTACTGTTCCAACCTTTTGCCTGCGAATTTCAAGATTCCATTGGGTTTTTTTCCCCCGCTGAATAGTACCCCATTGTGTAAATGTACCACATTTTCCTTACCAATTCTTCAGTTGAGGGGCATCTAGGTTACTTCCAAGTTCTTGCTATTCAAATTATGCTGTTATGAACATAGTTGAACAGATCTTTGTTGCATGAATGTGCATCTTTTGGGTGTATGCCTAAGAGTGGAATTACTGGATCTTGTGGTAGACGGATTCCCATTTTCCTGAGGAATCGCCATATTGACTTCCAAAGTGGCTGTACAAGTTTGCACTCCCACCAGCAGTGGAGGAGTGTTCCTCTGTTTCCACATCCTCTCCAGCAAACAGCATATTTTTTTTAATTTATTTTTTGTAGGTCTCTCTTTGTAGCCCTGGCTGGCCTGGAACTCACTCTGTAGACCAGGCTGGTCTTGAACTCACAGAGATCCTCCTGCTTCTGCCTCCTGAGTGCTGGGATTAAAGGCTCCAGCCATTCTGGTTTCTCTTTCTTTTATGAGATAGGGTCTCACGTAGCCAGTTGAGGGTGACCTTGAACTCTGGGGTCTCCCTCCATCACTACTATGAGTGAGTCACTTACCTTCTCTGTAACCAGCAGTGAAACAAAGTCTGACAGTCTCTGACTGTTTTCCAACTTTCTTAGTTTCAAAAGATGCTAATTTTTTAAAAATAATTTTCTATTAAAAATACAATGTTTCGCTGGGCAGTAGTGGCACACGCCTTTAATCCCAGCACTCTGGAGTCAGAGGCAGGCGGATCTCCATAAGTTCCAGGACAGTCTCCAGAGTTACACAGAGAAACCCTGTCTTGAACACTGCCCCTGCCCCAGTTTAAAAACTTATAGATGGGGCTGGAGATGTGGCTCAGAAGAGTGTTTGCCTAGCATGCAGGGAGCCTTGGGCTCAGTCTCCAGCACTACATAGACTAAGCAGGGTGGTACATACCAGAGGTGGGAAGGGCAAATTCCACAGTATCCTCTGCTACAAAAAGTACAGCAACCACAAAAATAAAGTAAAAGGAAGAAAAGAACACATGGCCTTCCCGAATCTCATTCCCAAGATGAATCCATGGCTTAGCAGTGCTGTGATAACTTCATGATGTTCACAAGCTGCTCTCAATGGAAAATCAGCATTCAGAGGGCACTGACTATATTTAAAGTGTCCATCACCATTCATTTAAAAAGATTTTTCTGGTTGGATGCAATAGGGGTTACCATGAGATTAAGGTCTGCAAGGGCTAGTGCAAAACCCTGTCTCAAAAGCCAAAAAAGAAAATAAGATTTATCTTACTTTATGCATATGACATGAAAGGGATTTATTTTCCCCTGTAGAGCTGTGGTTTCTGCTACCATGATTGCTTTGGATGTCAAACCATATATTTACTTAAAGATTGCGCACACAGCACAGTATATGCTCCTGAATTCACACACTGTTGTGTGGTTTCCTCTGCTGCCTTGGAAATGGTCATGCCAGTTCTCTTCAACTTTTCTGCTCATTGGCCACTTCATGAATATCACTGAAGGATGGGGTAGTTAAGCTGCTTTCCTCTAGTCTAGCTGAGAGGCACGTAGTCACTCTTGTTCACTTTTGCAAACACATAAGATGATGTCTGGGAGAGACACTCCTGAGTGGACGGGAAATTCAGAATCATGTGACTGGAGAAATTTAAAATCTGACTGCCAGCACACAGCCTCCTCTCACATTACCTCATTTAGAGGGTCTGTACAGGGGTCACTTTTCAAAGAACTCTTTCTTTATGACAGTTAAACTAATGAAAATGTCAGGTGAGGAGATGGCTCAGTGGCTAGAAATGCTTGCCCACAACCTGACACACTATGCTGGATCCCTAGCATCCACGTTTGCAACGCTGTACATCTATAACCCGGAATCAGCCGAAGCTCCTGGGCAGGGTAGCAAGCAAGGAGGGCTAGCCTGGAGTAAGCAGTGCAGAGAGATTGCCTCAGCAGGGTACCTCACATTCCTCTGCACTCACACACAGTAAACAGACAAGTACACAAATAAATAGGAAACGTTCATGCTTCTGTAACCCGGGGTTCATCAACTCTACTTAGAAAAGCAATCTGAACTGTTTCAGGCTGGTCTGCCCCCACCTGCTCTGTGTTGTCAAAAGAGGTGTAGAGATGTCTGTAAAGATGGCTCAGATGTTAAGAACCCAGGTTTGGTTCCCAGCACACACATGCCGATCTCATCTGTTTATAATTGCAGGTCCAGGGGATCTGACATTCTTTGAGACTTCTGTAGACACCAGGCATGCGTGTGGTGCACAGAAACACACACACACACACACACACACACACACACACACACACACCTGGAAAAAAAATGCAAGATACCCACATAGATGCATAATCGTTGAAATGTGTTCAGGCTAAGAACATATTTTAAAAGGAGAATTAGTAATCACATGGGCATCATCGCAACCCATTTGTGTCTCAGAGAGATCCCCTTCCCTGTAGGCACCGTTTCACTCCAGCAGCTGCTAGAGGGTATCTCTGAAGCTAATTTGAAAAGCAAATGGACAGTATTAGTAGACTTTTCCAAACCGTTGCTTAAAAAAAAAAAAAAAAAATGCTCCTTGATGCCTTCTAAATTTGTTCTACAGTGTTTCAGAGTTTAGGTTCGATTTTGAAAACTTGGAAACGCCTTAAACTCCCCAGTTCCTTGACATGGATTAAAATTAGGTCAAGGCTGTGTCATTGGGGGTGGGGGGACAAAACTTCCACTTTAAAGCCTGATTTTGGCGAGGGTAGGACCGCAGGCGCTGGGGACACCGCGGATCCGAGGAGTCGGAAGGCGGAGACTCATCCCTGAGAGACTCCAGCCCTCGAGGTCCTGCAAGGCACCCACACCCGCTTCTGTACCCTGCCGGCAAAGGGTGCCCAGAACCCAGCTGGACTGCTCACTCGGTGGGAGCTGCTGGGCGCCACTAGGGGGCGGGTCAGGGACGCCCTGGCAACACCTCCGCGGCCAGCCAATGGGCAATGGCTTTGCCTCGGGACCCGCGCTAATTGGCCGCGTCGGCCACGCCCCGCTCTGGATATAAACGCGAAGCTCCCTTTGGTCTCACGCTCCGCAAAGTCCTGCTCTCCCCGGCCGCAGCATGCAAAAGAACGCCTCTCCGAGCGGCTTCCTGCCCCGCTTCCAGCACTTTGCCACGCAGGCCATCCACGCGGCACAGGATCCCGAGCAATGGAATTCTCGCCCCGTGGTGATGCCCATCTCTCTGGCCACCACTTTCAAGCAGGCCTCGCCGGGCCAATCCTCGGTGAGCGGCAGGGCGGGCAGGGCAGAGCAGACTGGATGAACTGAGACAGTGCCCGGGACTCGTGGGTGTTCTCTGCGATTTTTAAAAATCAGAGTTTGAAATTTGATGAATTCTGTAGCAACGAAGCCACCGGTAGCCAGTCCTCCTTTGAAACACGAAGGGCCCTGGGCTGGTGAGGTGGCTGATTAGTTTTATTTCAACTTTGCCTCGAGAAGATTAGGCTGTTGAGCAGGCAGGCCAGCCACTGGGGCATTTTCTTACAGTCCATTGTGAATGGGGGACCCCCTACCCCCACCCCCACGCTGGTGATCATGAGTTCTGTAAGAAGGGTAAGCCAGTAAGCAGCATATCTCCATGGCCTCTCATCAGCTCCTGCCTCCGGGTTCCTGCCCTGACTGCTTTCCATGATGAATGGTTACAGGGCAGTGAAAGAAACGCGTGGTGTTTCATCACGGCAGGTAAAGGTGCCGTTACCAACATGACCACCTCGGTTCAGTTCTGTAGCCCATATGGTGAAAGGGGAGAACCAGCTCCTGTAGTTATCCTCCAACACACACACACACACACACACACACACACACACACACGTTCACACTCAGACACACACACGTTCACACTCAGACACACACACGTTCACACTCAGACACACACACGTTCACACTCAGACACACACACACGTTCACACTCAGACACACACACGTTCACACTCAGACACACACACACACGTTCACACTCAGACACACACTAAATAATGAAAACTCCAGAGAATTAAGATCAGCTCTGATGAATGTGTTCAGTTAATAGCTACTGAATACTTACTGGCCAGATGCATACCTGGAGTCTATGTGTTACATGTAGTCTCATCCAATAATAACAAGAAGGAACCTCGCCTGAACTAAGGTCTCAGTGTCAGATTGAGGTAGCTGAGATATAGGATCGACAGCACTAGGGTAACCTACGGTTACCAAGGCTCATGAGCAATGAAGTTAGGCTTTAATTTGCCTTTGAACCCCTCTTTTCTGCCATCTGACTGCATGGCGCCACATTAAAGCTATGCTAAGCAATAGTTGGAGACATTTCATCATCCAAGACAGAGGTTCCCAGCCTGTGAGTCACAAAGACCCTTTCACAGTGGTCGAATATCAGGAACTCACATTGCAATTCATAACAGTAGCAAAGTCACAGTTATAAAACAGCAACAGAAATAATGTAATGGTTGGGGGTCACCACAGCAAGTTGAGAATCACTGATCTGAAACACTGATCTAAGCGGTATGGCTCTGTGGTGATTAGGAGTGCAGGGGTTTTAATTCCTGCATCAGCTCTTCTGTCTGGGCAACTGGGAAGAAGCTATTTAACGCATCCTAGCCTTTGAGTTGACCCTGTGTAAACCGCCGGGATAATAACAGGACATACCACATAAGCTGTCGCTGTTGTAAACTGTGTGGTACCCACACATCACAGTGGGTGTTTATAGTCTTCATGTCTTGTCTTGCTATTTCCATTTGACTACAGCAGCCAGGCCAGAGGGTAGGTGTTAAACCCTTTTTTATAGAAAAGGAAACTGACCCAGACTCGAACGCAAGTGACCCGTAAAGCCTGTAAGATGCAGTCTTGTGACACTCATGGCATATTCCTCTCTGGTGGCTTACTAGATGGGTCTTGATGTATTAAAAGCTGCCCAAGGTTCAGAGGACAACAGTGAGTAAGGCAATTGCTGCACGTTTCCAGGTCTTGGCTGGTCCGGAAACTGCCTTTGTGTGTTAAGTTCTCACAAACATCCCTTGTTCTGTGAGGTAAATTTCCAAGTATCCTAACTGTAGCAGCAGGTTAGGATACTCCTAGCTGTTGATTTGTATTCCAAATGTATACACCACCTCCTCCAAGCAAGTGGTGGGCCCTCCTATGTAGGCCTGCTGCCTGTATGGAACAGTCTGTAGGAACTGAGTGTTCCAGTGTGGTCTTAATGTTTAAGTGGTTCAGAGAGCAAGCAGGGTTGGTTTAAATACAGTATGTGCTCAGAATCTCCAAAAGATAGTAGTACTGCAGCAATGAGAATTATCAGAGACCTTTAGTTCCATTTGAAAAGCCATGGAATGAATGCATGCACAAGGTAATTTGCCAACGGAACAAGCCCTCCTACCTCGGATGTTAGGCATCTGCACACTTACGAATATTTATGAAGCATGGAGCTGCTCTAGGAACCAAGCATTTTGGAGTCGGTTTGGTGAGTTTAGCAGCTGGGGACAGTGCTGGGTGTTGAAGACAGCTGGAGCTCTGTGAAGGATGTATGCCCAGTTTATGTACACAGGGGGAAACATTTACAGTTATTACTACTTTTATACTAGAAGCTTCTGAGTCCTAAACAAGCATTTAAGTAGTGATATGCTGTATAAGCCAAGGGGAGAAAAGTATAGGATGTTTTTGTTTGTTTGAGATAGTCTGTCCCTAGGTAGCCCAGGGTGGCCTTGAACTCACGGATTTGACTTTGCCTCTGTTGGGATTGCAGGTGTGTGTGTGTGTGTGTGTGTGTGTGATCACACCAGCTCAGATCCCAGAATTGGCTCTCACCCTCACATTCCCCATGTCTTACAACATTTGGCTTCACTTTTCTCCATGTAGGTCACAAGGCTAAATGAGATGCTTACATGATTCTTAAGTATAAAGTGAGCCTGACACAATATTTCAGGAATCCACTCATAGAGGATGTTCACTGAGGATCGTTTCCTCCTATGGTTTTGAGTCATTTTTATAGACTTAAGGTCTGAACCCTGAGCACTTGAATGACTTGTTCAACCCTCTTGTGTGCTAAACGAACCCGCATCACTCACATCCTGGGAAGGGAAACACAGGCTAGACTCATGCAATTCCCTTTTTCTAATGCATCCATCTTATTAGGGGATGGGGAGGCTGACATAATTGCAGTGTCATGCCAATGTTAAGAATTGCCATGCATCTAGTGTTTAGCACATGTTGTGGGTGTATGTCCCGGGAATGTGTGCCTTACTCCACTCCATCCTCATGATTTTGCAACTGGACGTGTGCTCTTTTTTCCAACTGCAAATGGACAGATAGAATGTTGAGTCTTTTACGTACTAGTACAAAACTAGTAAGTGGCAGACACATCATTCTAACCCATGGCAGGCACATTGTTCCTACTTATTTTTATTTTATGTACATAGGTGTTTTGCCTGCATGTGTCTCTGTACCACATACATGCAGTGCCTGTGGAGGCCAGAAGAGAGCATTAGAACCCTTGGAACTGGAGTTCCAGACCTAGTGAGCTGACATGTGGATCCTTGGAATTGAACATAGGTCCTCTGAAAGAGTAGTAAGCATCCTTAACCTCGTCGCCATCTCTCCAGCTCCCCTTTTGGTCATCTTTTCTTGTATCTTACGTCAAAGTGTGCCGTAACTAGGTAATAGAAATTATGGTGGATTGGCCTGTAGCTGTGACCATGTCTTCACTGGGCTCCGATACTAACCAGGAGCTCTTAAGATGATGAATAAATCATCTTCCTCTTCTTACTTTCAGGGTTTTGTATATGGCCGCTCTGGAAATCCCACAAGGAACTGCTTGGAAAAAGTAGTGGCTGTTCTGGACGGGGCAAAACACAGTAAGAGACTTGCACCTACAGTGAAAGCTGGATTCTGTTTAGGTGTCTAAGGACCACGGAAGCACAGGAGGTAGAAAATAGGAGACAGTGCAGCCTTTGGCTTTGCTCTGCAGCTGGTACATGCACATGTGTCCTCACCAGTTCGCAGTAAATAGGCACAGAGCAGAATGGCAGAGCTTATTACACCCCTCACCTGAGGCTATCACTATGGCTCATTCACCAAACCAGAAATTATTGATAATATGCTCTCAAAGGGAAGGAATTCACTCCCAGGACCTTTGTATTTTCGGTATAAGTGATGCCAAATGGTCAGAATAGTGAAGAGAAAGAGCGTGACATTAATCAGAGGACCCCTGAGGGGTGGCGGCGGTGGCTCAGTCAGGGGAACCACAGTGCAGATGGCACTGGGTTGTTGCTAAGATTTTGGGTTTGGGGTTTTTATTTTGTTGTTGTTGTTCTTTTGTTTTTGTTTTTTTTTTTTCTTACTTGAATTTGCTTTTTATGATAGGTTTGGCCTTTGCTTCGGGGCTAGCTGCCACCATGACGATTATCCACCTGTTAAAAGCTGGAGATGAAGTCATTTGTATAGATGAAGTGTATGGAGGTAGGTGCCTTCTCATTCCCAGGGTGTGTTAGGTGCTGCAAAGATAGCAATGGGCGCCGTTGCCTGTTTGGGGGACTATGTTCTTTCTAGGGTGTGGCAGGCACCGCCGTGGGTTTCAGACTCCATGTTCCATATAAGAGGCTGCCTGATAAGAATGTTTTGAAGAGTTGGAACAAGAATATAGGGGCTGACCAGCCTTCAGACACACCACAGCCTTGGTTCTGAACACACAACACACATACTGTGTACAGGCACGCCGTGATGCCACTATGGTGCCGATGAACACCATAGAACAATTTCTGAGAATCAGTTCTCCTCTTCCATGGCGTGGGTCCAGATGTCCAGTTGCCATGCTTGGTGGCCAGAGTCTTCCACCTGCTTGTCGCACTAGGGATGTTTTAGAGTTGAGTACTATGAAGAAACTGATAATAATTGCTCGTGCCTGTGATTCTAGCATTCAGGAGGTTAAGGCAGAATTGTCATGAATCGGCCAGCTTGGGCTAGATAGTGAGTTTGATGTCAACTTATAATTACATCATTTTTCCTTTTCCTTACTTCAAGTTTCCCCACGCATACACCCAACCTTCTACCCGTACTCTCTCAAACTCATTGTCTCTTTTTCTTTGATTGTTGTTACATACACATGTATGTGTATATATGTATGTATGTATGTATGTATAAATGTGTGTGTGTGTGTATGTGTATTGCGTACATGAATAGAACTTGCTCAGTCCCTACAATGTTACCTGTTTGTTTATGATTTCAAGGTATTGGGTAACCAACTTGGGGGCTCTTCTCTGGGGAAGACCATTCCTCCTCCTCTCAGCATTCTCCAATTGTCTGTAGTTCTCTGTCTAAGGTTGAGGCCTCATGGGTTTTCCTTTCTCATGTTAACACGTCCATTGGTTTCACTGTTGTTCGTGTCTTGGTTAGGTGGCCATGTTGATGAGCCTCTCAACATTTCTAGGAGATGCAGTCTCACAGCAAACTTCACGTTCTTCTGGCTGTTACTATCCGGACCCTTGTCTTAAACATACATGCTTGTACATGCAGAGATTTCTACAGACGGCATGTGTCAGGGAGGGAAGGTGCTCCATGCTGGAAGAGTAGAGAAAGGGAGTTTGAGAAATGGTTCTGCTCCTTGCCACTTGCATGTATCGCGTCTATTTTGGTTGGCTCTGTGGTATGTCAAATAACCATCCATGCTGCTTTTGGCTTCAGTGAACTTGCTTTTGGTTGCAATTTGTTTTTTTTTTTTTTTTTTTTTTTTTTTGAGAATTCTCCTCCTTTTGGGAATGGGCAGGTCTGCAAAGAGCAGACGCCTCCTGACATTGTGTTCTCTGTGTATTGTCTGACTGTCTTCTGCCGCAGGCACCAACAGATACTTCAGAAGGGTGGCATCAGAATTTGGGCTGAAGATTTCTTTTGTGGAGTGTTCCAATACCAAATTGCTAGAGGAAGCTATCACACCACAAACCAAGGTAACCAGCTGGCCTTTGACCCTGATTGTTTTCCCTGTGATTCTTTACTTATGTCCTCTCTGCTCACTAGAGGATGCAATTTAAATCTAAAAGACATTTTACTGAAGCTGTTGGAAACACCGAGATTGACACGGGCTAGAGTCTCCATGGCTTGGTAGCGTAATTATCTGGAGCGCACACACAAATTCTCAAGTGGGATTCCAACTGGGCCTTGAGGTAGGTAGGGAGAAAACAGTACTAGACAGAAAATAGTACACTATGTTGAAAACCACACAACAGGGCCTTAAAAGGAAGGAGAGATGTCTCTCTAAAATGTGGAGGGGGCAGAGCTGGAAAGATGGTCCAGTGGTTAAGAGCATGTAATGCTCTTGTAGGGGACCTGAACTTGGTTCCCGGCACCTACACTGGAGGGCCCACAACTGCCTGTAACTTCAGCTCCAGGGTACCTGATGCCCTTGTCCTTCCCGTAGGTACCCACACTTTCATGTGTAGACCCACACATGTTCACATAAGAATGAGAGGCAGAGAGAGAGAGAGAGAGAGAGAGAGAGAGAGAGAGAGAGAGACATGCAGGGACAAATGGCTGCAGTGGTGGGGAGAGCTGGGGAGCCTCTCTGAAGTAAATCCCACAGCAATCCCAAGAACAAAGGGCATATCAGACTTAATTAGGTTCAACTTTGTATACACGACAAAGAGAATGAATGAGCCAGGTAAATCAGGGACTGCTATTAGTCACAACTCAGCCTGAGAGAGCTGCAGAGAGGCACGGCCTTCTAAGAGTGTCCTCCGTCTTTTAGGGGCAGGTCAGTGTTCTAACAAGTTTAATTTTTAAATGTGCATTATGTTAGAAGCTACTGTGCATTTAATCTCTCAGTTCTATCCATTTTTTTTTGTAAAAATTTTAAATTCAAGAGTACATAGTTCTCAGACATACCAAGCTATCAAAGCATAGCATCGTTCAAAGACCACATACCCCCCCCCCCCCAGTCCAGGGACTTTGATCTCAGCCCTGGGAAGCTTGTGTGCTGTGGAAGCGCCTGAATATCAGATGTGGTATTTGGGGACCTCATTTAAATTCTGCAGGAGTGAAAGGCCAGTGTCTTTTATGAGTGAACCTTTCTGTTAAGGATTCAAATGTTAAACTCGTACCCAAGCTCATGTGGTAGTGAATGCTAAAAGGTAGAAATCCTTCACACAAACAATTCTTTCTAGAATAGAACTGGGGCTAATAATAAGGTTTGTTTTCAAGGAAGTTGTCTTTTCATATTGCTTGAGAGAAAAGAATTTATTCAAATAGCTGGTCTGAGACTTTCCAAAGGAAGAAATCAGATCATGAGTATGATAAATTTTGTTCACAAATGTTATTTGCTGGCCCTTTATTTTCTCTGATACAGGCTTTGCTTTTGAATATATATGATATATATGAATATATCATATATTTAAATATATATGATATATATATGAATATATCATATATTTGAATATATATGATATATATAATTAAATAAAATATAATTTTATGCATATGGGTGTTTTGTTTCCATGGACAAATGTATACCATGTGTATGTTTGCTACCTGTGGAGGGCATTGGATCCTTTAGAACTGGAATTACAGGTGGTTTTTTTTTTTGTTTGTTTGTTTTAATAGTGAACTTCCAGTCAGAGAGTGTATTTAACTAGACTTCTTGTCTGTTTATGCAGGTAATGAGAAGTCACTAGCTCTTATAAGAGAAAGCTGTACGTTACACAGTTGAAGGCAGATGCACCTGTTGAGGGTGCGTGCTGTGGCTGGGTTGCAGTACGTCTGAGCTCCATCAGCGAACCTAGCTTTCTGCAAGGCCGCCACTTCTGCTCAACCGAAGTGCTGGTTTATGATGTTCTGGGGGATTGATCCCAGGCTTTGTGCATGCTAGGCAAGATCTTTACTGAGCTACTTCCCCAGAGCCAGGATATATTTTTATACAATCTGTATTATAATTTGTCTTTGAGCAAAGAAGCTCCAGATACCATGTCTTTCTTCTGTAAGATAAATATCACCGACCTCTTTATGCAGATGAGGACTTGAGGAAGACAGAAGGGAGTTTGCAGAGCAATCGCCTATCAGAAATTTATAGGGAAAGCTCAGGTTCAAACCTAACCATTCTACCTTCATTGTTGAAGCTTAGCCTTCTACAATGTGGTATGTGAGATGTGTGTGTATGTGTGTGTAGTATATTTTTACATACTGTTGTTGGCTGTATTTCTGTAGCTTGTTTGGATTGAAACACCTACAAACCCAACCTTGAAGATGACTGACATCGAAGCCTGTGCACGCATTGTCCATAAGCGTGGAGACATCATTTTGGTTGTAGACAACACTTTCATGTCTCCATATTTCCAGGTATGAAGGGAAGGGTTTTTTGCTGTGATTAACAAACTACACATTTATCTGTAATTAGGAAAGGAAGAACTACTCTATAGTAAAATCATTATCAAACTCAAAATAGTTGTATATCGAAATATAACAATTATTGAATAGAAAAAAAAGAATCAGATTTGGCCATTTTTCGCCTTTGTTAATATCTCAAAATTGTGTTACTATCTTATTGGAGGCTTTATTGGGAACAGTGGGCCCATAGCATAGGAGTAAACACATTTTCTAGGCCATAATTGATAAGAATAGGCAGTATGGACAGAAACACAGTGGATGAATTCTCAGAGTCTATGCCTCTCAGAAGTAACAGGATTCTTTATAGCAGGTAAGAAAGACTAACTGGCTTTCTTGCCTCTTTGACCATTTGGGGTGAGTTCTGTCTGAATAGAGAAGATGTTAGGCAGTAAACTCATAACATTGACCCTACCTTGGCTATGTGGGGTGAGGCACCAGGAGCCATTAGGAGTTGAGATCCAGAAGTTTCCTTCTATAGGGTTGGGTTCTGAGCCCTTAGAACTGGTGATTAGAGACTGGGGATTTTGCTTTTTGTTGTATCCCGTCTCCACATAGGCATGTGATTTTAGAACATCATCTAGGCAGCCCTCCCTGATCTCTTAGGTTATGTAAAGCATGTGAAGACATGACTTGTTAGGCATCTCTAATGCCCTCCATATCATGGCTGAGTGTTGGTCATCAATCCACATTAAATAAGGAATTTCTACTCCATCTGTTTTATGTCATGACTTAGCCCGTTTGTCTGCTGTGCCATGGTACTGTAACCCTGGTGGCCTCAGAACAGGACTTTGCTTCTTACAGTTAGTTCTACGACCAACAAGTCCAACAAGTCTGTGCAGGGCCAAGTCTGTGTTCTAATGAGAGAAGAATCCAGGCAGCTCTCTAGGACTCTAATGGGGCTCTGACCCTTTCACATTGAGTCTGCCATCAGGTACTCATCACCCAGAGTCCTGATGGCATGGCCGTTAAGTTTCAACACGTGGCATGGGGGACACAGAGACATTCCACCCACAGCCATGGGTGTTTTAAGTTACTGTGAGCTACCTAGAGAGGTTTTGTCTGAAGAAAACCCATACATGCTGTGTTTTAAAGACGCAAGGATGATCAATTGGCATTAACCTTAGAACAGGAGAATGATCTGGACAAATTTCCTTTTGGAAACTTTTTATTCATACTTGTATGTGTCGGTGCTTTAGTGTGGAGGCGGGGGTCAGAGGACAATTTTGTAGATTTGGTTCTCTCCTTCAAACTTTAGATTTTAGGGATTGAACTCAGGTCATACCGAGCCCTCTCTCTTGCCTCTACAGATTTCTTCGTGACTTTATACTTGTGTAATAAAGGAGTGATTAGCAATCAGAAACTCAGACAGTCAAGTGTTAACAGTCACCTTATGCCTTGTAAGGTTTTGATGATTAAAAATCTAAGCAAAGAACTTTGTACTCACTTGGCACCGACACTGCGGGATGCTTTCATAAACTGCTCGTAAAATACATGCATCTGAGCTGCAGGCAATAAACTCAGGGCCGGCTAACAGCTGTAAAGAAAGGTGTAGGAAGGCTTGGCCTGGGCCTGCCTCTTGTTTCCATGCAAGTTACAACTTCAGAGTCTGAGCCAAGTCTTATTTTGGGTTGTTCCTGTGTTTGTTTCTATTTTCTTTTGGATGATTCTTTGGTAGAAGGAGATGTAGGAGCAGACTCATGATCTCACACAGCAGGGTAGAGATGGATTCAGTTGGGATCTGAGGCAACAGACACAAGTGGATGGAATGGTGCATTTCAGATGGTAAAAATGTCTGTCTGTTTTTATTTTTCTTTCAGCGACCCTTGGCTCTGGGTGCTGACATTTGTATGAGTTCTGCCACAAAGTACATGAATGGTAAGATGAGCATAGCCTGCATCTTAAACATTCTTCTCCATAGATAGGCGATTCTAGCGAGGCTTGGCACTTTGAACCCTTCTGCTGTGGTGTAGGATTTATCTGCGACTTACGTTGAAAAGTAAAATAAAAAGAAGTGCTTCGATTGGGATGTAGCTGAGGCGAGTCTGGAACTCACTACTTGCCAAGGCTAGCCTGAACTTCTGATTTCCCTACGTCCCAGGCATTGAGGTGTATGTCCCCACACTCAGAATCTCATTTCTCATAGACAAAACTGCATTCTTGGCTCATAGGGATTACTGTAAGGGGTTGTGCTTTCATTTTGCTGGCAGCTTGAAGACACTGACTCTTTTTATGGTTTTTACTTTACTGCTTTTATATAGCCACTGCTATAAAACTGGATGAAGTCCACCTTAAAATGTTCAAAGATAACCCTTTCCCCTTAGGATGTTTTCAAGACAGAAATCAGGGTTTGGAAATTATGAAATGGAGAATGAATACAAATTGCTGTTGGTGGTGTTTTTGTTTCTTTTTTTTTTTTTTTTTTTTTTTTTTTTTTTTTAGGCCACAGTGATGTTATCATGGGCTTAGTGTCTGTTAATTCTGATGACCTCAATGATCGACTTCGTTTCCTGCAGAACTGTAAGTGGTCAAAAGCCTGGGTTTCCTTGTCTGTGGTGTGTGTGTACCATCGAGAAGCAGACACTTTCCACCTTAGTCATCTGAGGCAAGGTCACTACTCAAACCTGTGTCCAAGTACCAGTGCCCAGCACAGCACTGGAGTTCCAGGTGCACATAGCCATGCCCAGCTTCCTCTTGGGTGCTGGGATCCTAACTCAGGCCCTCATTCTTGTAGAGCAAGCATTCTTGTGAACAGGCTCATCTCTCCAGCTCCCTAAGCCTGGGTTCTTATAATGCCACCAGAGATTACGTTTGATATTTGCACTTCCACAGAATATTGTAACACATGTGGGGAGAGAGAAGGAGAAAAGGCTATAAAATCGTAGTTATACCCAGCACTTGATAGGCATAGGCAGGAAGATCTCTGAGAGTTCAAGGCCAGCCTGGTCTACATAGTGAGGTTCAAGCCAGTTAGGGCCACAAAGTAAGACCTTGTCTCAGATAAATAAATAAACAAACAAATAAATAGAGTTACGGCATAGCATGATTTTATGACTTCGTGGCATCATTTAAGGAGTGAATTCTGTTATTTGCTTAATAAAATTGTTAAAACCGCAGTGAGTTTTTAAGGCTTGGTGGATTATTTTAAACACTGAAATGTTGGCTTTCATCTACATAAGCCCCAGGGATGGTGGTTAGGTGTGAGTAGCACTGGAGATCTAAACATACGCCTTTCCGTACATTAAGGACCTTTCCTGGTAGATTGCTCAGTTTGCCTCCTATATAGGTGATCACTACAGTCTGACAGAGAAGAGACAGGCATGATTAAAAATCATAATACCTATGGGCGGAAGTTACTGTCCTACCAACAGCTCTCAAATACCTGACAGCTGCTTCCTAAACTACCACACAAAGGTTTATACTAGTTATGAATTCTCAGCCGGTAGCTCAGGCTTATTACACTTAAATTAACCCGTAACTCTTACCTATGTTTAGCACATGACTCTCATCTTGCTTCCTCTGCGTTCTGGCTGGCGACTCCCGACTCCACCCTTCCTCTTCCCAGCATTCTTAGTGTGGTCACCCCACCTACACATCCCGCCTGGCTACTGGCCAATCAGCATTGTATTAAACCAATCCAAGCGACAGATCTTTACAGTGAACAAGAGGACTATCCCACAGCAAATGCCTTTCTAGAAGCAAGGGGGCTGAGGAGGGGAGTGGGCAGACTGCTTGATAAATAAGAGCTAAGAGCTGGAGCTGTTCTTTCGGAGAATCTCAGTTCGGTTCCCAGCGGACACACGTCAGGGTTCACAGTCACCTGTGGCTATAGTTCCCAGGATCTGACTTTCTCTTCTGGCCTCTGCCGGCACTGCGCTCACATGCACAAGCCCACACATATGTACATATGGATGTATATACATAACTTAGAAAAAAAATGAAGATGAGGTGAGCGTTAGTTAGTTGATTGTGTAGCACAATCATAACCACGCGGCAGATTTTCAAAGACGTGAGGGCCCACACCATGTGACGTGTCATGTCACTTAACCACACAGGGCTGTTTCCTCACAGCCAAAAGCCTCACCTTGGCTTCCTTGTTACACGATACCCATTTCTCTGATTTAAAGCACTTCTCTCTAAGTGCATTTTTGTCTTCATTCCATGCTCCCGTTCGACATGGAGATTTCATCCTGAAATACGAACGTCGAGCTTGATAGCTAGATTGGAAAAGAAGACCCAGGGGAATCCCTTGAGCACTGAGCTGCCTTCACGCTAACATGTCCCTTGTCCCCTTTCCAGCAATCGGGGCGATTCCTTCCCCTTTTGATTGCTACCTCTGCTGCCGGGGCCTGAAGACTCTGCAGGTCCGGATGGAGAAACACTTCAAGAATGGGATGGCAGTGGCCCGTTTCCTGGAGTCAAATCCCCGGGTAGAAAAGGTTATTTACCCTGGTATGTCAGCCTGAGTTCTAAGCAGCCCGGTAGAGTTTAACACTGTATGTGGTTCACTCTTTCCTAGTTTCTCCTTTAATTTTACATTGTTAGTTGGTTATTGTTACTTTGTAACAGGCTCTGCAAGGAGTGCAATCGGGAGTGGATAGACAAGATGTTGGCCGGGAGGCAGTGGGCGTCAGGTGCACTCCAGTCATAGGTCAATTCTTGGTTTGTTGGTTCATGACCCTGCCAGTCAATTGTTCAACACTACAATCTAATGTGAGTTTGTTCCACTTCGACTTAATGTGCCAGAATTCCCCCCCCCCTTTCAGTTCAACACCCTTTTTTTAGGTGGGTTAGCAGACTCATTCTCACCCCTTGAGTTTATGTTGCCAGTTACTAGTTAAGCTGTCTGTGAGCTTTTGCAACCTTGTTCTTAGTCCCATGGCTATGGGACCATGTTGTAAGATTTGAATTCAAGGGAACTGGGTAAGTCAGAGTAGAAATGTGTGAGCTCAGATCTCTCTACCTGTTTATTTGATAAACACTGCTTGCTGCGATACGTTCTGGGTACAGGAAGGGAGAAGGGCGCTGATCTGTGTTCAACCCTATTTGTCGAGTATTTCCAGAGGCATCTAACAACTGCTGGGCCTGGATTTTTCTCTAGGACTATGAATCCAATATTAATAAAATAAATGGATTTGTCCTCATGGAGACAGTTAACAAGGGAGTGCAGACATGCAGAAGCCTTGAATGGAAGAGTGCATGCTGACGGTGTCAAGAAAGGCGATGTGGCCAGGGTGTGGGAGGGTGCAGAGGTGTCTAACTCTGCAGTCGGGCTTTCTCGAAGCTGGCTCAGGGAGCGGTGAACTTGTTCCCTTGCAGTTGTGTGTGTGGCTGTAGAATGAGGCAGTTTTTGTGCTCTGTCTGCAGGGCTACCCTCTCACCCTCAGCATGAGCTGGCCAAGCGCCAGTGCTCAGGCTGCCCGGGGATGGTCACCTTCTACATCAAGGGTGCCCTACGGCATGCTGAGGTTTTCCTCAAGAATCTGAAGGTAAGCTCACAACTCTTCCTCTGAGACTTCCTTATAGTGGCTCATACTCACCACTCCCATAAGATAGAACAAAGCTCTCTGAGTCAAATCTGTCTCTAATATTACAAGGAATAGTATTAACTTCTGACATTTAGTAAAGGTAAGCTAGGCAGTCCTAGCGACTTGGGACACTGGGGCAGGAGGATCATGTGATCCTTCCTCTAAGTCTGAGATGAGGCTAGGCAACACAGTAAGAATCTGTCTCAATAAAAAGGAGTAAATTTTATGGCATTGTAATGCAATTGTAGTCCTTATTGCTGCCATAATACCCAAGACTGGTTTTTCATTACGGTCACAAAATGCTGGAGACAGGGTACTTTATAAGTAGACGTTTATTTCAGATCAGAGTTAGACGGTCCCTTCCTTGTGCCCTGGGCTGAGAGCCCACTGTCAGATGTCATCATATGTGGGAGTAAGAGCTGTCACCAGTCAAGAAGGCCAATGGCAGTTGGGGGCAGGCTTGTTCTGATGGCAGTCAGCAGTATCTTGATTAGTTCTCCCCTCAGTGGCCTCAAAGTCTCCCACCTGCTGGAAAAATTGCTCATTGGTTAAGAGCACTGGCTGTTCTTCCAAAGAACCAGCACCCAAATGGCAGGTCTCAACTATCTAACTCCAAGATCTGACATTCTCACACAGATGTGCATGCAGGCAAAATACCAATGTGTATAAAATAAAAATAAATTATACATATTTTAAAAAGTCTACCACCAAGCCCCACTTCTTAAAGGCATGCCACATTGAGGACTCCAACCCATGAACTTTGGAGGGACCCACCTCACCCAAAGCAGGGAGGTCTCTCAGTGTATAGTTAAGGTGGCTGAAGGGATCAATCTGCCTGTCAGCATCCACGTGTTAGCAAGAAGACAGGAGCAGGAGGGTCCTGGATGTTAGGCACCACTCATCCAATGAGCAGGAGTCAGGGTGGCAGCCCTGACAGCTACCCTCCAAGAGACTCTACTCTGCAAGATCCGCCCATCCTGTCATTACATCACACAGGGAACCTTGGGATGGGCCATGTGCAAATCAAAGCAATGGCTGGGCCAAGAAGTTTCCCCTTCTCCATGGGCAATTAAAGGGACAATTAATTTAAGAGTTGCTGTATAGCTGGATGTGCTAGTGCACAACTTTAATCCCAGCACTCAGAAGACAGAGGCAGGCTGATCTGTGTGAGTTCAAGTCCAGTCTGGTCTACAAAAGGAATTCCAGGATAGCCAGGGCTATTACACAGAGAAACCCTGTCTTGAAAAAAAAAAAGTGCTACATATTGACTAGTGTAGATAATGGTAGACATTCCAAAATATTTATTTAAAGGGAAACGACAGAGGTAGTTCTAAAGATAAAAAATTTAAATTTTAGAGCTAATGTAAATAATGTTTAAGTATGATATGTATATAGTTATGTATACTATATACTATATGTAAATAGTATATATGTAGTTACTGTGGCTTTTGTTTTTAAGACAGGGCCTTACTCATTCTATAGTCTAGAACCCTAATACTTGGTATGTAGACCAGGCTGGCCTTGAACTTGTAGTTACTCTTCTGTCTCTGCCTCCTTGGTGGTAGTATAAGCCACCATCTACCTTTAAGCATAATGTTTAAATACCTGCAGATTGCTTAATTATCATCCAAACCAGGCTGATGTAGGAAACTTACTTTGGTCAGTTTATTGATGATTGATTGATTTACTGATTGACTGATCCCCATTTATGGGGATGAGACTTAGGGTCCTGTACGAAGACAGGCCAGCTCTCTACCACTGAGCTGCAACCCCCAGACCTTTGTAAAGTTCTCTGAGATAAAGTTTCACCGTGTTTCTCCAGCTGGCCTCGGAGGACTCACAGAGGTCATCCTGTCTCTGTCTTTTGAGCCTAGGATGGTAATCCTGGGGTACCAATCCCAGCCACTTGAAGTGATTTAAACGTTTGAAGGCATTACATATAATTGTCTTAGACTTAATCCTGACTTTTTCTTAGTATTTTGCCTGATTCTTGTTTCATCATAATTCCTATCACTTTTCATCACTCCTGAGCCGGATAAATTTTATCAAAGAGATTTATTTTCAGAATTTAGCATTATGTTGTTGGGTAATCTAAATTCCTGTCTCCTTTGCTAGCTGTTTATTCTGGCTGAGAGCCTGGGAGGCTATGAGAGTCTGGCCGAGCTTCCGTAAGTATGCTCTTGTTTCTCTTGGTTATTATTGCATCGCATTCATTTAGTCTTTATTTTTAATAGTTGATTATCTTGATCTCTTTGCATTGTGTCTCATGCTGAGCTGCTGCATCTGTCTCAAGTACCTCTCTCATCTGTTGACATAGAAACCACAGCTCTCGTCTTAAAGGGAGAAAGGACATGGACCCAGGAACAGAGATTAAGTTAACCCAAAATTCCACGTTCCAATGTGGAAGCAGTGTCTCGGGGTTTTTGTAGTTTTACAGAACAAAGAAAGGCGTATGTCGAGGCAAGTTTAAAATATGCTGGTAGGTACATCGGGAGTCAGGTGCAACAAGACAGTGAGAGATATTTTACAGTCCCACGATGCTATTGATAACGTTCTTGGCTCTTGGACTGGTGGTTAGTGAGCTCACTTTGCATCAGTGAGCGCACTTCAGGTTTACGGTTGGAGCTTTCCTAGGAGGGACCTCAGCCTCCAGTGTGTGTGTGCACGCAAGAGTGCAGAGAACTCTGACACATTCCTGACAAATTGGGCAGTGCGTTTGTATCCATAGGATGAAATTGATAATAGGGCACGGGTTACTGCCGACTGCTGACCTGACCTACTGAGCAGTCCGTGCAGGCAGACTTCTTTCCCGCCCACCAGTTCCCAAATACTGGGCATGGAGACTTAATATTACTTATAAATGCTCGGCCAATAGCTCAGGCTTGTTACTAGCTAACGCTTACATTTTCAATTAGCCCATATTTTTATCTACGCTTTGCCATGCCTCCTGGTACCTTTTTGTTTTTTGTTTTTGTTTTAGCATGTTTATCTCCTGATCCTTCTGCATCTCGCGGAGACTCCTCAGACTCTACCCTTCTTCTTCCCGGTGTCCTCAGCCTGATTCTCCCACCTAACCCTGCCCAGCTATTGGCCAGTCTACCTGTTATCAGTGAACATGGTTTTGGGTTTGTTGTTGTTGTTGTTTTGTTTGTTTTTACTTTGTTGAGGCAGGACAAACAGCTCAGTTTGTTCTAAAACTTGCCCTACAGCCAGGGATGACATTCTATTACAGACTATTTTGTATCTAGCTCCGAAGGCGTGGCTCGTACACTGTGCATCACCACACCCAGCTCTCATGAGCTGTTTCTTCCGTGGTATTTTTGTGCACGCTCAGCAAAGGCTGTGTCTTGGAAGCACCGCACTAAAGATTCAGATTCCTGCGCGTAGGCATACTTCCTGTTTACAGTTGTAGGGAGAATCTGACGAGCTTTAAGGCTTCCTCCTTAAAAAGAGATCCTTCCTGGTTTATTAGGGGTTGTGGTTAACACTGCTCAGTCCTCAGGCGGGATAAGTATGTTTAGGTCGGGGCTTGTCTGTTTGGCCACTCTTCATTCTGGGCCCACCATCACTGTTGTGATTGGGGCAATGATGAGAGGAAAGCAAGTAGAGCCTCCCACCCAGACACCCTTAGAAAACACTTCATACCTGTCTCAGTCAAGTACACCATGACCAAAAGCAAGTTGGGGAGGAGAGGGTTTCTTTGGCTTACACTTCTACATCATAGCCCATCACTGAAGGAAGTCAGGACAGGAACTCAAACAGGGCAGGAACCTGGAGGCAGGAACCGATGCAGAGGACATGGAGAAGTCTGCTTACTGGCTTGTTCCCATGGCTTGCTCAGCCTGCTCAGGGATGGTACCACCCACAGGGGACCAGACTCTCCCCCATTAAATGATCATTAAGAAAATGCCTTACAGCTGAATCTGAGGCGTTTTAAATACCTGCTCTTACCTCCTCTCCTCCCTCCTTATTTTCTTTGATATTTCTATTTTTGTCTTACTTATTGGAACACAATCCATGAAGACTCACCTTTCTGAGTGCTCACAATTCATACCTTTCTAGTATTTCCTAATTAAGATAATTTTATGTACATCAACTGATGCTTACAAATTACTTTTAAGATAGAAGTTATATTCGATCTGTAATCATTAATAAGTAATGGCTACCTGCTCAGCAGTAGGTGGCCAACAGAGAATGAATTCAGTAGCATCTTTGGAGGTTCTTTGTCTCATAATGTTGTGTCAAGGCTTTTTCTTTTGCTTTTTAAAATCTATTGTTATTTATGTTTATTTTATTTACATATTTTCTCTCTCTCTCTACCCTACAGATTGTTTGTGTATATATTGTAGCTGCCAGTTTAGTGTTTTTATGGGACTCCTGAGTGTGCAAATGAGTGGGTCTCTGTTTCTTGTTCCTTCTCTTAGACTCTTTCTAAAGTTTTGTCCTATTCTGTAGTAGTTTTTGTCTTATTATATTTTATATCATTATGAAAAAAACCCAATGGTAATTTTCCTTGAAAAAAAAAAAAAAGCAAGGACAGCCAGTGAGACCCTGTCTCACAAAACAAAACAACAGAAGGAGAATCCACACACCCCATAGTTTGGTGCTGCTGTTAGTAAGGAAAGAGGTCTTCAGCTCAGGTTACTTTGAGAGGGAATACACCGGTGAGAAAACGCGTTTCTTAACTTTTGTTATAACTGTGTGGGAGAGTGGGGGCTTGTGTGCCAAGGCACGCAAGTGCAGATCAGAGCACAACTCTATGGATTTACACCCACACTGTGTGGGTTCTGGAGATGCAACTCAGCCACCAGCTTATAGTGGAAAGAACCTCCACCTTGTGAGACATCCCGAGAGTCCTGGAATATGGTTCATTCCTAAGAGTATTGTTCTCTGAGGTCCACGGCTGTTTGGATTTGGATGTGTGCCTGCTCCCTTAGGGAAGTAAGAACATGTCAGGGCAGAGTGTTTTCAGGAGGATGTTAGTATCTAAAAACTTCTTGTCTTAGGGTTGGTTTCTGTAGCAATGTGGGAAAGAATGGCTTTTTTTTTTTTCAGTGTGCAACATGCAGGTCACTGCTCAATCACTGGGACCTGGAGGCAGGAGCTGATGCAGAGCCCCTGGAGGAGCGCTGCTTATTGACTTGCTTCTTGTGTCTTTCTTAGCTTTTTTTCATATGTCTCATGACTACTAGCCCAGGGGTGGCACCTCCTAATTAAGGGTAGATGTGGGTGGGCCAAGCTCACTCATTAGTTAAGAGAATTCCCCACAGGCTTGCACTGAGGCCAACCATTCGCATGGAGGTATTTTCTCAACTTTGGTTTCCTCTTCTCAAATACTCTAGCTTGTGTCAAGTTAACAAAACAAAAACAGCCTGGACACTTTCTTAGAGGGCTCAGCAGGTAAAAGCACTTGCTGTGTAAGCCTGGCAACCTGAGTTCATTCCTAGAAGGACAAAACGGCCCCACAGATTTGTCCTCTGACTTCCACATGCGTCCTGGGCCACTCCCACCAATTGTATACACATACATAAAAATTAAAAAAAAAAAAAAAAACCTTCCTTAGAACAACAAAAGAAGTTACCGTGGGTGTGTGTGCTGTATAACTCGGTGCTTTTTCCGAGGGCCTGAGGGCTGTAAAAAGCATTCTGGCAGAGAAGACACATTGGGCCTGGGCATCACAGCCTCTCTGTGTGGCTCTCAGTCTGTTCAGGCTGACCCTCCCTTGAACTCACACAACCCATCTTGCCAAGACTTGTTGGGTAGGTTTGCCTGCTTTTCCTCAGTGTCTCCTTCATCCTCTAACATAAGGAAGATACCTCATCTCTTCCAGATTCTTCCTACAGTGCACAAAGCAACGGAAGTCTGACTTTACAGCTGTTGAGGACAATTAGCTTCTAGTTAGGAAAATTCCTCAGGCCTTTCTCCCGTGTGTTCTGCGCTAGAATTTCTGCTAGGGTTTCTTGTAAACAGCAGTGTAGGATCAATTTGGTCTCAGCCCAAGCCTCATTAGGGCAGGTGGTGGAATCCACAGGAAGCTGGTCTCTCTCCTACCCGAGTTCCAAATTGCTATCTTCAACACGTTTTTATGACATGTAAGTAATGTCATAAGCACTCCTGGTTTTCACTTAAAATCATGACAAGAAGAGGTATGTTTGATAATAAATTGTTTAATTTCGGTTTGCCTTTGAAAAATTATAAAAGTTTTTAGAAAAGGAGCCAGAAGAGGCCTGTAGATAACTGCCGACATTTCAGCTAGAAATATGCCTCCGCCGGCACAATGCAATGATGAAATTTGTTCACGTTTACTTCCAGAGCAACCATGACCCATGCATCTGTGCCGGAGAAGGACAGAGCTGCCCTTGGGATCAGTGACACACTGATCCGACTGTCTGTGGGCCTAGAGGATGAAAAGGACATTCTGGAAGACTTGGATCAAGCTCTGAAGGCAGCGGTGAGTTGTTCTGGGTGTGTGCACGCATCTGTACGCAAGCATGTATACACATGTCCTGCTTTTTCTTTTATTGAAAATGGATGTTTTTCATAAAGAATAGTTTAGTTAGCTTTCCCTCCCTCTACCCTTCCCAGTTCCTCCCCACCTTCCCTCTCTTATTCAGATCTGCACCCTTTCTGTCTCTTTGTTAGCAAACAAGTGGGCGCCTAAGGAATAGTAATACAAGATAAATAAGTCAAAAGAAATAAATCAGATGGTGACAAAACAAGCAAATAAAAAATGGCCAAAGGAAAGGCACAAGAAATGCTTATAGACACAGAAACACACTTGTTTACATACATAGGAATCCCGTAAAACCCTCAAACCATAATATACACACAAAGGACCTGTAGAACAAACAAGCAAACAAATGAGTGGTCTGTTTCCCCCAATGAGACTCATTTGGAGAAAACTCATTTTTTTAATAGCAAGTGTCTATCAGGTAGAGCTAGCTCCTGGGTTTAGGGATGGGACATGCATCTGCTTTTCTCAGTTCTATGGCCCTCTGCGGTTCAAACCCATGATGTGCCAGCCCTGTTGTGTCTAAAAGGCCTTGATTCCTTGCTGTCCTCCATCCCTTCTGGCTCTTAATACTCTTTCTGCCTGCTTGTCCACAGTTTCCCTGAGCTCCGAGGGGAGACTTGAGGGGGATATCCATCTTAGGGCTGAGTTTTCCAATGTTTCTCACTCTGCATATTGTCTGCCTGTGGACCTCTGTGTTTGTTCCTATCTGCTGAAGTAGGTAGCGTCTCTGATGGTCGAGCAAGATGCTGGTCTATGAGTATAGCAGAATGTCATTGGTAGTCACTGTATTGCTCCGTCCCTTAATCAGAACAGTAGTAATTGGTTTTCCCCTAGGTCCTTACCCTGTCCAATCTCATGTTCTTGGCCATCCAAACAACATTGGGCATGGGTTCCATGTCAAGGGATGGGCCTTAGCTCAAATCAGGTATTGGTTGGTTATTCCTACAAACTTAGTACTGATGTCGCACCAGTACATCTTGTAGGCAGGTCACTCTTGTAGATCAAAGGGTTTGCAGCTGGATTGGTGTTTACCTTTCTCCTTTGGTAGCATGCACAGATCCTTCCAGTACTATGAATAGTAGTCTATATACTAGTATACTAGAGGAGCAGTAGGCACCAGCTCCTCTTCTTCATGTTCAGTAAGTTGTCTAAGTGTTGTCTTCAGTAGTAGGGCCTTATTGTCAGTTCATGGAGAGCTACCAATAGCCTGGGTTGTTTGGGGGTACTCATGGGCCCCTTTTGGCCCTAAAGAACTCGATTAGATGCAACCCATTCCTGACACTGGAAGCTCCATTTGTTCACAGGACATGCCCAGTTGGGGCTCTGTCTTTCTGTTACTTGGCTATTTCATGTAGATTGCCTTCATATACATATGTAATATAGGAAGCTGATTCTGTATTAGGTTTCTATACAACCCCTCAAATGGCCCTTAATTTTAGCTGTCCCTCCTCATATTCCCTCCCTGTTTGATCCTTTGCAGCCCCCACCCCCTACCCACCCATAACTATCTATTCTATTTCTCTTTCCTAGGATAGATCTTAGGAAGATCTATCCTTTTCCCTAGCCCCTCACACTTTATCTAAATTCTGTGGTTGTTCAGTTTATAGCTTGCTTGTCAATGACTTAACAGCGAACATCCACATATACGTGAGTACATACCATATCTGGGTCTAAGCCGCCTTATTCAGGATGATTTTTTTTTCTAATTCTATGCATTTACCATTTACCTGTGAGTCTCATGATTTCATCTTTTTTAATGGCTGAGTAATACTCTATTGTGTAAATGCACCATTATCTTTATATTCATTCTTCTGTTGAGGGGCATCTGGGTTGTTTCCAGTTTCTGGCTATTATGAATAGAGTAACAATGAACATGGTTGAGTGGGTGTCTTTTGGGTATATGCCCAAGAGTGACATAACTGATCTTGATGAAGATTGATTCCCATCTCCCTGAGGAACCACTACACTGATTTTCATAGTGGATGTATAAGTTTACACTCCCACTAGCAATGGATGAGTGTTCCTTCTATCACTCATCATCACCAGCATGAGCTTTCATTTGTTTTCATTGATATTGGCCATGCTGGCTGGTATAGGTTGTAATTGCAAAGTAGTTTCCCTGATAATTAAGGATGCAGAACATTTTTTTTTCTTTTCTTTTCTTTTCTTTCTTTTTTTTTTTTTTCTTCTTTTGGTTTTTCAAGACAGGGTTCCTGTGTGTAGCCCTGGCTGTCTTGGAACTCACTCTGTATAGCAATAGCAGGCTGGCCTCAAACTCAGAGAGCCTGCCTCTGCCTCCTGAGTACTGGGATTAAAGGCCTGTGCCACCATTGCCTGACTAAACATTTAAGTGTTTCTCTGCCAGAATGTGACCTCACCGGAGATTTGTAGGAGGATGAGTATTCCTGATACTTGCCTGGACAACATCTGTGAATTTGTCAAGTCCTTTTTGAGCCCCTCAGTATAGAGTCGACTTATCAGCTGGTCTTTACCCTTGCTAAGAAAGAAAAGCCCCCAAGTCACCCAACATCCCCTGGCACAGTATCAGCCTTTCTGAGCACATTGATGGTTCGGACTTCAGGTACACATTTGGTCTCATCTCCAGCACCTCGGGCTCTCACAGTACTGGGCATCTGATTCCCAACTCCTTTCTCCATCCACCACAGACCCAATCTGGAGCCACAGCAGTTACAATCTGACCATCACCAAAATTAAAGAAAGCTGTCCTCATGTCACCTCTGAAGGTGACACTTTCTTACAGCTGACACAGGTGAATGTGCAGGAGCCTCAGAATGAGCTGTCAGGGTAGGAGTGTGGAGGTCACTGACATTTTTCTCCCATGCATTTTTGATACAGCACCCTTGAGGTTGGATTGAAGCCGGCATTCCAGTACTGCCCTCAGGAGCTGCATCTGGGGGGCTCCGATCTTCCAAAATAACTGGATGGGCCATTGAGGAGCATTTGCAGAATTTCCCAGAGAACATTTTAAGGCACCCAATGAATGACGTTTACAGCTGTAACCTTTTGGGATTCTTCGCTGTTAAGGACTGTCTTTAGTTTGTATTCTCCTAACTTGACAGGTTGTCTCTGTCAATGCCATTTTGGTTATTTCACTACATTTGTATCCAAGGAAGTGAGAATTGTGCTGTTTGGGGCACTGTGTTGCTGATTTTTATTTTCCTTTTTTCCCACAGCCTAAGATGTAATCATGCTTACAATGTCATAATTTAGTGTTGATGTTGTATGAAGTTAAATGATTAAATGAATGCTCTTAAATCAACTGTGACTTTTTCCATCCTGTTGAAATATTGATAGTGATGATTTTCATTTAATTACCACAAGCCAAAAATCAAATATTTGAAATGTCAACTGTGAAATTCTAGCGATTAAAGGACATACTTGATATTGGTTACTTTTCTCAAATAAATCTAATTATCAAATGCACCGCTCCCTGATACTGCGTTGCTAATTTCTAGTGGCCTCCCTAGACGCCTCAAACCCTATCATTTTTATAAATGTAACTGAGTAATTCTTATCCCTAAAGTTTAATATCAGGTACAAATTACATACACAGTGCTTTTTTATACATTTCATATTCTTAACTGAAATAGTAAGTTCATTAAGGTAAAGGTAGTTGCATTTAAAACCAGAATATTTGGGGGTATTTATCCTTCAACAAGAGTTCTTTCTAATTTTTCCTTATCTCACAAAGTAACTGTTAAGCCTGGTCCAGTGATATCTTGCAGGCATTCCTATCTTTGACCAGTGTACCTGTAACAAAGCTTGAAGTACGGCTGCAGAATTAGAGTCTGGCTCCATTGCCGGTTTTTTTATGGTACTTAGTTTAAATTTCTTCAGTTAGGAGAAAATAACTCAGGCCTGATTTTCACCCCTGTTGTATTAGCTCAGTTCATCAAAAGCTCTCAATGGTCACAGCACTAGAACCCTGGTCTCCTGACATTTCATTCCGTAGTTCAGCATAGCGTCCTTAGTTGAGCATCGAGGATTCCCAGCAGGTTAGTAAGACATACTCCTGAAATTGTAAGAGTGAGGCTGTGATCAGAGCCGCCCCAATAAAACCCCGCAGGTTCTTGTTGGGGGAAAAAAAAATAGGCTGGTGGCTTGGGACTATGGACAGGGCTGTTTTATTCAAAGAGCTTTTCATTTTGAATGGAAGAACAGAGCAAAGTCTAGTCTTGGTTTGCTCCTAGGAGGGGTTGTCTCTGAAATAAACGCACTGTTGTGTTCAGGATGGCTGCCTGACAGTAGAAAGCATGGAGAAGGACCGTGATGGGGCGGGGAGTAGGGTCACAGGTGACGGACTCCCATCCGGCAGCTCTGGACAGCTGAGGGCGTTGGTGGAGAGTGGACATGCACTGAGCCGATAGAGGGTCCTGATTAACACACGGCAAGCAATGCACCATGCTGTGGCCATTAATACCCAGCCCCTCCAAGCCAGTCTAAAGACAAGCCGTGCAGCGATAATGTGGTCTATAAAGCATGATACACACGGGGTGTATAATGGATTACCCTCCCTCCTCCCGCAGTGTTTCTTTTCAGCAAAAGTAATTCTTTTTTCCCCTTAGAGAGTTTAGGGGGTCAGAAGGAAAAGAAAGACCAGAAAAATGAAAATTAATGGAGATGTGATGTTAGCTACATGGCACAAGCCGGAGTCACCTGGGAGAAGGGACTTCAGTTAAGAAAACACCTGCCAGACAGGCCTGTGGTGCATTTTCCTGATTGGTGTGGGAAGGCCTAGCTCACTGTGGACGGTGCCACCCTGTCCTCCGTTCTATCAGAAAGCAGGCTGACGAAGCAATGGCAAGTGAGCAATACTCTTTATTTATTTACTTACTTACATATCGATCCCAGTTCCCTCTCCCTCCCTCTCTTCCACCCTCCCATGTCCCCCCACCCACTCCCATCCCATCCCAACCCACTCCACATGTAGGGTAATACCTTTCAGGAGGGGTCATCTAAATCTGTCAAGTCATTTGAAGTAGGGACTAGGACTTCTCTCCTGTCTTTAGGTTAAGGGAGTTTCCCTCCATGGAGGGTGTGTCTGCAAAGTCCTTTAGTGCACCGGGGATACATCCTGGATCCACTGTCTGAGGTCCCTTAGACTGCTCAGTCCTTCTGGCTGAGACCTGTGTACAGGGGGTCTGAGTCAGTCCCATGCTGGTTTCCCAGCTATCGGTCTGGGAGCCCAGTAGCTCAATACTCTTTCAGGGCCTCTGCTTCAACTCCGGCTTCTTGACTTGACTTCCTTCCATGGTGGACTGTGATGTGGCAGTACAAACTAAATAAACCCTTTCCTCCCCAAGTTGCTTTTGGCCATGTGTCATCACAGCTGCAGAAACCCAAGAATCCAGAATTACAACAATCGACGAGATAGGCCCTTCTCTCTTCCAGCTGTAAACCTATAGTTTCTAAGGCTGTAACCAAAACCCTCTTCGCAGTTAGTAAAAAAGAAAACGGAAAAGGGGTGGTGTGGGGGGGAGTCCTAAACACATTTTTGTTTGTGTGTTTGGTTTTTCGAGACAGAGGTTCTCTGTGAAGCCTGGCTATCCTAGAGCTCGCTCTGTAGATCAAGCTGACCTCAAACTCATAGAGGTCCACCCTCCTCTGCCTCCTGAGCATTGGTATTAAAGGCATGCACTATCAGTCCCCACCCTACCTAAACCCTTGTGAGTCCCTTATGGTTCTCAGTTTTACCTACCAGATTGCAATTCCATCCAAAGGGGCTCCAACAGCCACCCGATAATATCACTTATCAAAAAGAGAGAAAGAGGAAAAATTTAGCAATCCTTTGAGATGCAACTAGATTGCAACCACATGGCATATACGGCTAAGGGTAAGATGAGCGTGAACACAGGTAATGTATAGCTAATGTATGTTAAGACAGCCTTAACTCTTCCTGGAGAAGCCTCTGCCCACACTTGGGCATGTCTTATCCTTCCCCTGAGCACCTCTTTCTTAACTCCTGTGCATGAAATCTATGTTGGTAAAATGCTTCCCATGCAGGCATGAAGGCCTGAGGATCCCGACATACATACATACATGTGCAAACACACACAAACTTACATCCATTTAAAATGTCTTTTAATTATTTAATTTTTTTCTCTAAAGCCAGAGAATAAATAACACCCCTGACATCCTATTTTTTAAAACATTGTAAAAAGCCAGGTGTGGCAGAACAGTTTTAACTACAGCACTTGCAGTTCAAGGTCAGTACGATCTACGTACCAAGTTCAAGGCCAGCCAGGGCTATATCCATATGGAAACCCTGTCTCAAAAACATGGAGATTCACCTGTGCCTCCTGAGTGCTGGGATTAAAGGTGTGTGCCACCACAGTCCAGCTTCAAATAACCTTTGTAAAAGGCAAACTATTCCAAACTGTGGAGTGGTTTTTGTTAACCAAAAATGTGGCCCTCCCTGTGTTGGCCGTCTAGAGTCCATCCTCCCTTCCTTGGGCAACAAATACTGTATCGATTCTGTGTCGAGAGCCTCATGATGAACATAGAGGATCAGAAACCCAGCTTGTAGGCCTCATGTCTGTAACAGTGGCTCTGTCTGAACCTTGCTTGGACTAAGATCTCAGACTCTCATGGGAGTTCCAGAAAAGGCATAGTCTCATCCCCTGGGGCTGAAGCCCGCCAGGGTGTGGTGTGGACCAGCAGAGCCACCTCCCCACTGTGAAGGGGATACCCATCTGAGACGAGGTAGCACCTCAAAGATTCGGCACAGTGGGCTCTGGTGGATCCATCCTAAGACAGACTGTAGTGGGATATTGGTTGAAGATGTGTCACACTCATTTACACTGTAGAATGTTTGTTTAATGGTGCAAAGATGTGTTGTAGTCTCTTATGGTGCACTTGTTTAACTCTGCACGCTGTGCTGCTTTGCCAGCCTTAAACACCTGATTGGTCTAATGAAGAGCCCGATGGCCGATTGGTAGACAGGAGAGAGAGGTAGGAGGGGCTGCCGGGCATGGAGAATAAATGAGAGTAGAGAGCAGAGCAAGGAAAAGAGGAGAGAGGGCACCAGAGCCCAGGCACCCAGCCATACAACCAGCCACAGGATAAAAAGGAAAGAAAGAATTATAGAATGGAGACAGGTAAAAGCCCAGAGGCAAAAGGTAGATGGGATAGTTTAAGAAAAGCTGGATAGAAACAAGCCAAGCTAAGGCTGGACATTCATAAGTAAGAATAAGTCTCCCTGTATTTATTTGGGAAATAGGTGGTGGTCCCCCAAATAGTAAGAGTTAAAAATAAACAACTACGGCGTGGGCCCCATGAACAAGCCTCTCCTCTCTCCTCTTCTTGCTCTTGCCCGTTCTCTTCCTGCTCTGTCTTCCTCACTTCCTGCCTCTTCCTCTCCTCCTCTCTCCCTCCTACTCTTTCTGCTCCTGCCCTCTCTCCCCTTCTCATCCCTCCCCTTCCCCCCTTCCCTCCCTCCCTGCTTCATGCTTTTGTTTTTACTTTTATTAAGGCATTTTTTTTTCCTTTTATCTTTGGTTGCCACTGCTCTTAGTAACTGAAAAGGACTCATCTGATAGTGAAATGAAGGGGCCATGTGCTATGTGATTAAATCGAGCTCACTAGATGTTGCAAGAAAATTTGATCTTCCGTCTCAAGATCCTTAGCCTCAATCAGTCTTTCCATGGTGTTATTTTTGGCCACATTAAAAACTTTTCATGAGATACCCAACCCCATCACTGGGGTTCCAACGCCATAACCTCATCTAATCCTAATTATTTCCCAAAGGCCCCGCCCCATGTTTCATAACATTGGAGGTTAGGGCTACATTGAAAACATTTAGTCTGCAGCAGAGAGTTCAGGAAAGATTGCTGGAGGATGAATTAACATTCGCCTGGTTAAAAATAATGTGTATGGAGAAGTATGGAGGACTGGAAAAGCAACTCAGTCAGTAGAGGGCTTGCTTAGCATGTATGAAGTCGTGAGTTCAAGCCCTAGCGCCCCATAGATTGGTTGTGGTGGCACATGCCTCTAATTCTAGCACTCAGAAGACAGAGGCAAGAGAATCAGAAGTTCAAGGTCATCTTTCACTACATAACACATTTAAACATGTGTGTATATGCATGCACAATCAAGATAGGTTAATGTCGGCATGGCTCTCTCTCTCTCTCCTGTGTGTGTGTGTGTGTGTGTGTGTGTGTGTGTATGTGACAGAACATCTAAGCATTATCAAAGCATGGAGAGAAGAGTCACCGTCTGGGACCCAGGCAATGTGGCAGGGGTATGGAAAAACAGTCTTGGGCGGGGGGGGGGGGGGCAGGCCAAAGAGTCAAGGCATTAGCTTCATTCTTATATTTTGCTTCCTCAAGGGCTGGTGATGTAGCTCAGAGGTAGAAAGCTTGTCCTGTTTGTAAGGAGTAAGGTTTTTTTCTCCCGCCACTGGTCTTGTTCCGCCGCTGCGCC